GTATCTTTCCTGCTTCCCTTCTCATTCAATGGGTAGGGTTGTCTGTTGTTTGCTGGTATCTCCACCCCCAAGATGGTGATGCTATTAGGATGGAAGGGTTGGTCTTGGGGTGGAACACCTGGTGGTGGAATACAGCTCTTGCCAGTCCCTGTTGGAAGCCTGCACCCCAAGAATCTCCTTTGGGGCCCACTCATGTGATGTGGGCCCCTGGTCTTATCTCCTTATATCGCCTGTACACCTCACAGTTCCTGGTCTGTAATTTAGTCTCTAAACTGTATGTCACTCAGCCCCTCCTTTTCAAATTCCCAATCAGGAACCTCTCTCTTTGGAGGTCTTGTGGGCTCCACTCTTGGGCCTGCCCATCTGTTGTGGAGAACTGTTTTCTATTGGGCAGATCAGGAGTAGGCTTTTTGAGCTATATACTGCCAATATACCTGCAATCACTGTGCTGGGTTAGTGGCTGCGGGGGAGAAGGGGGAGTTGGGGGACCATAGATGAAAAGAAGAAGAACCCGGAGACAGGTGAGCGAGAAATGAAAGATGGAGACCAGGTAGAAATCCACATGGGAATTTGTCAGAGCTGACAAAACATCTCTCCATAGACAGAGGGAGGCAAAGCAGACTTGGGGTTTGGGACTTTTATGGGGCAAACTAAGGGATTAGAGCTGGGCGGGTCCTAATGTGGTCAGTTAAGGGTGGGGATGGTATGAGGGAGTGTTGATACACCCTTGGGTGGGAAAGAATACAGATGGTGAAGTGTTGGGTTCATATGAGGGAGTGGTATTTCTCAGAAACACCCTTGGCGGGAAAGCAAAACTTTTGTTAAAATGACAGCTGTCACTTAAGATGGCCCTCCAGATGCTAAGCAAGGACCTTACAATAAGTACCTTGATATTGCTTCTAGGACCCAGCTGGTGTCTCAAACTGAGAGTTTCCCTAATTAAAGATGGCAAGAAAGGTGTCCCAAGATGGAAGCAGCTCTTTTCAGAGAGGAGGTGTTGGGTCTGGCTGGGCAGTGGCGTTGGGTGGTGTGTTCAGGGATGCAGCTCTGTAGCAGGCAGGTGTGTGGCTGTTGGCTGTCTCCAGACCCTGCCATTGTCCCCAGGTGCAGGCAATTATGGCAGTGATTGCAGGGTCCCAAGATGGAGGCGACCAATGGACCCTCATGCTGGTAGATGGGGGTTCACATGGGAGTAGCAGTTAGGGGTTCCCCACACCCATTGTGTGGACATGGCAGCCGGGATTCCTGCATGGGAGCAGCTGTTGGGGGGTACTCCCACTGCTTGAATCCCAGGTCACAGAGTGACAAGGAATGCATCCTCCCTCTAGCCCACCACTGAGAAACTGATGCGACTCCATTTTTGAGAAACCAGCCTGTACCTCAGCAAAGCCTGTCCAAGGAAGGGGGCATGACCCTTGTCCTTGGAAAAACCCACAAAGCACTCCTAGGACATACCCACCATGCTGAGTTGTTTATCTACAAATAACAGAAGAGATCTGCGGTGCCAGGTGTCCCTGACTCAGTTAGGCTAGGTGAGGAGCCATAGCAACCCCCTAGCAACCACCAATTAGCAGGATACAGGGAAGATACCTGGGATTCCAGATGACCCTCCCAGTAGTTTATGGTGGTTGATAACATGTTGGGAAACCATGTAGTTCAGCACATACTCCCCTCGTGGCTTAAACCAATCAGTTTAAACGAATCCCCCTTTTGTACTAACCAATCACCCTTACCCAACTTGTTCCCACCAGTGAATGATTACATGTTTTAGAGTTGTTTTTTTTTTTTTTTTAATTTTCCTGTGGTGTGTGATGATTTGCTAAGAGATGCTATGATGTATGTGGGGTCTCTGCCTTCCTCAAAGAGTGTATAAAACTGCTGCAAACCCTGGGCTTGGGGCCTCTTAGCTTCACCAGTTGCTGTGCGTATGGAGGACCGAGCTAGCTCACAATAAACGCCTCTTTGCTGCTTACATGGATCTTGGTCTCTGGTGGTTTTTTGGGGGTCCCGAACTCGAGAATAACACCACCTTGGATCTCTCAAGTTAATTGTTTAATAGACTAGATTCAGCACAGAGGGATGATAGGGAAATATCATTTGTTGAATCTCCATGCCATAGTCAGCTAGAGATACTGCTTTGGTCAGGGTTTCTTGGTCACTAATTATGAAAACCACTCTAGCAGTCTTTCCAAAAGAGTTTAATAAATCTTATTAGTTTAAACAGTAATTTTAGCTGGAATCGAATTGCTGAATTATTCTAGCAAGTTCCTCTGTGCATTGCTGCCAGGTATAGCCCTACCTCATGGTGCCAAATGTAGGCATGACCATTGAGAGGGCCATCAGACTAGGGAGGGAGCCTGATATGGTTCAGATATGAGGTGTCCCCTGAAAGCTCATGTGAGAGACAATGCAAGCACACTCATAGGTAAAATGATTAGATTATGAGATCTATAACCTAATCACTGGATTAATCCAGTTGATAGATTGATAATACAAATGGGTGGTACTGGGTAACTATAAGCAGATGACGTATGGTAGGAGGAAGTAGGTTGCTGGGGTTTTGGCTTTGGGTTTATATTTTGTCTCTGGAAGGCAGTGTTCTCTCTCTACTTCCTACTGCCATTAACTAAGCAGTTTTCCTCTTCCAAGACCTTCTGCTATGATGCCTCACCTGAGGCCCAAAATGGTGGAGCTGGCCTGCCCGTGGACTGAAACCTCTGAGACCTTGAGTACCAAATCCTCCCCTAAGTTGTTCTGGTATTTTGGTCACAGTGATGAAAAGCTGACTAAAATGAGCCGGGGCCAAATGTCTGTGTAAAGAGGTTGGGGCTTGAAAAAGTGAAAGATGGGAAAATATCGCAAACTGAGGAAGCGTATTTAAGAAGTGCTGGCCAGTCAGAAAACATAATAATAGACACCACAAGCCCTTCACATAAATTATCTATTTTAACCTTCACAACTACATGGTGAAATGCCATTATAATCCTCCTTTTCTAGACAGCCTCACAGAGACTGAGGTATAGCAGAATCTTTCTAAAGCTCTCAACTACTAAATAGTTTATCTAGGATCTCAGCCTAGGTTATGCGTCTCAAAACACCATACTTTTTTTCACCTTTCCCCCTCATTTTTATTTTAAAAGATAAGTTGAAAATTTACATAATTTAAGTCTCCATTCATTGGACTACTTCTGTTTTAGGTTTCAGTGTTTTAAGGACTTAATTAAAGGATTGGTATGTTATGTCGTTCCTATTGGTTGATTAATATATTTTGGAGACAGCTTGGACTATAAAAAGGTCACCGTGCTTGGAGAAAGAAAGCTTAGGCTCAAGCATCTGTCCAATTACTAACTTGTAGGGTGAACCTGGATGAAACCTTGACCTCCAGCAGCCTTAGGTTCCTTATCTGGAAAAGTGTAAGTGATGGTTGATTTGTCTGTTTCACAGAGTTTATTGTGGGCATCATATATCAGAAAGTGCTTGTAAAATGGTAGTCTACTGTGCTAATCATCAGAGATCTGAAAGTTCAATTCACCACAAGTGGCATTTAAAAAAAAAAAGAAATACTTCTTGTTTAGTGTTTTCATTCTTCCAGTTTTTAAACTGCTGCTGTTATCATAATCCATGTATGACCAAATCTACGGCATTGTAATCCAAGATATATGGAACAAATGTTTCAGTTTTTTGTTGGTTGTTTAAAGGGAAATACTATGTCTCAAATCAAATAAAAAACAATCTTTAATCATTTATAGTAACCTTTACTAGTTTTGTTTGTGGGGAGGGGAAGGCAGAATTTTACTTTCAGCCTTTCCTTCAGGGACAAGAAGTTCAAATTAGGGCTCTAACTCTGCAAAGATAAGAATAAGTTCTAGAAGGAAGGTGCTAAGAATGAAATCAATAAAAATAGTGGCAACAAAGTAATTTCCTATTAATAATATTAAAAGTCATACTTTTTGAACTTTACTGTGTACTAGGAACATTCCTAAGACTTTATCAAATTTTTACAAAGAGGTAGTTATTATCCTTGTGTACAAGTGAGGAAATTGATGCTAATAAATGTTAAACAGCTTGTCCAAGGTTACATAGTTAGTGGTGGATCAGTGATATAAACATAGTAGTCTGAATCTAGCGTTTCTGCCATCCTGTAGAAACAGGTGAATTGCCATCTGCCAAGCTAAGCAAAGGATGGTCACGCAAACTAAAGCTCTTCCATGGCAGTTTCTTTGGGTGCCTATTCTTTATAACTTGCAGATCTTTATCTGAGTCTTAATGCCAGGCAAGATTAGAATAAAAATGACTAGATAGCAATGGCTTTTGAGTATTTAGAAAAACATGCTTATAGATAGGAGAAGAAACAGTTATTGCATATTTGGTTTCTGACAATTGTTACGATTTAGATGTGGTGTCCCCCAAAAGCTCACGTGTGAGACAATGCAACAAGGTTTGGATTAGTAATGATTGTGTTGTGAGAACCTTAACCCATCAGTGATTTAATACCCTGATAGGGATTAACTGAGTGGTAAGTGAAGTAGTAGGATGTGGTCAAGGAGGTGGGGATTAGGGCGTGGCTTTGATGTATATATATGTAACTGGAGAGTGGAGTCTCTCACTCAGCTTCCTGATCAGCATGATGGGAGCTGCTTCCCTCTACCATACTCTCCAGCCATAACGTCCTGCCTCACCTCAAACTGGGAGCAGTAAAGCCCTCTGTCAACCCCTGAAACTGTGAGTCCTCAAATAAACTTTTCCACCTCTATAGTTTTTCTGCTCAGATCCTTTAGTCATAGGCAACAAAGAATTTGAATAAAACAACAATGAATTAAAAAAAAAACTTTTTTGGGGGATTGAACTCAGGAGCACTCAACCACTAAGTCACATCCCCAGCCCTTTTTGTATTTTATTTAGAGATAGGGTCTCACTTATGCTGAGGCTGGTTTTGAACTCTTGATCCTCCTAGTTTAGCCTCCCAAGCCACTGGGATTACAGGCATGCGCCACCACATCTGGCTGACAACGCAATTTTATTTTAGCAATTACTCATTAAGTGTTTGTTATGTGGGCAATGCAAAAGTATCTATTTTCTTCAGTCATATTTAGTGACTTGGGAAGGGAATCTTCTAAGAAAGGCCATGCCAACCTGCGTCATTGTAGAGTTTCTCCATTCTTTTGGAGACCAAGACAAAAGCATTCTTCTAGAAAGCTGGAAAACAAAGAGGAATTTGATTTAGTCACACTATGATTAAAGACTTGGTGGGTCATCAGTTCAGTGCCAGCACTCTGAACCTACTGACAGAAAGGAAGATGAGCATACAGCAAGCGAAATATCACATAGAACCTTGCAATTGCCACAGAGACTTGAATTTATGCCTAAGTAAGAAAGACTGATTTACCTGAACTTTGCCATGATGGACAGTAGAAGGGCCTTGCTTGAGAAAACAGTATTGGAGAATCACTGAAATAAATGGGAAATCCTTACACTGTAAAAATTCCTTTAGCATTCTCACTGGCTAGAACACTATAGCTCAGAAGAAAGAAAAACCACACTAATGGAGATTTCTTGTTCACTTCTTTGATTGGCAACACTCCTAATATAGCCATCTGACTTTTGAACCATTTCAGTTCTCTTGAGAATCTTTTTCTAATTTTTTTTTCGTTGTAGAAGGGCTCAATGCCTATATTTGTTTTTATGTGGTGCTAGGATCGATCCCAGTGCCTCAAACTTGCAAGGCAAGTGCTTTACCACTGAGCTACAACTCCACCCCTCTTGAGAATGTCTTTATGTTTTGTTTCTCTTTACTTTTTGCTTCTCATATACATTTTTTCCTTTATAAAATTAAAAAGAATATTTCATTATTTCCACTTAACATTTTTAAAAAAGGAGAGTTTCAACAGTTTTCAGCTGTGAAACATTTTACCAGGTGATAATGATTAAGAATGAGTATTAGATGGCAGTTTATGTATATGAAATATTTAGAAGAGAATTAAATGCCTGGTTAAGCTCTGTGATATGGAGCTTAACAAAACTTCTGTTTTGCATTTCTTTCCCTGCTGGTGATATCTACTTGATTTACCACTCTTTTTTCTTGTGTTTGCCAAAATAATTAGAAAAGGTAGTTTACATAAGCTTTTTCCTTTCATCACTACCTATCCCTTTTTCTAGTTTCTGCAACCAATGTGTACCCTCTATAGGATTTGTCTCTAAAAGGTTCAGCTGCTAAATGATATTTTCTTTTGCTTCATCCTTCTCCATCACCCTATAGCTTTTTTCCCTCATGTTATCTCTTGTTTCTGTTGCCCTACTTTCTCATTTCTCCTATCTGATTTTCCTTTATCTCTCTTATCACTAGAGGTTCATTCAGATTATGGGAGAATGTTCGTTTCCTTCTGTACGTGCAATTCAAAGAAAAGGAATATGAGTACCTAAAGGTGTCCTGGTGCATTCTTTGATCCTTTAGAGTCCCATATAATTCGCAGAGTTTGCCCAAGGACTGCTTGCTTGAGGCATTTGTCCTATATCCTGGATTAGCTTCTAGACCCCTTGAGTATTGCTAAGAATTTTCCCAAGGTGGAGGTGGAAGGAATAATCTTAGGCCTCACTTATCTTCTCATAGGGACTTTAATGTAGTTTTCATGCCTCAAAACTATAGTTTGATCCCTATCTCAGAGCTCTGCTTTCATATGAGGTTAGGGAAAAGTGCTAACAAAGGAAACCTCTCTTACTTTGCTAAGACCTGAAAGGGAATTTAAATTCCTATTCACCTGAATGTTTCTGAAGGAATTACCAATATCAGGAAAATTGAAATTACCTAATCAGGCAGAATGCACAAAATGCTATACATGGCCAAGACTATATTGACAACATAATATTGAAAACATTGATTATTGCAGCATTCTATAGTGATACAGCCATATCAATGTTCATAGCAGTTCAATTCACAATAGCTAAGCTATGGAACTAACCTAAGTGCCTTTCAATAGATGAATAGATAAAGAAAATGTGGTACATATGCACATTGGAATATTATTCAGCCATAGCAAAGAATAAAATTATGACATTTGCCTGTAAATGGGTGGAACTGGAGGCTATCATCCCCAAGTAAAATAAGCCAATCCCCCCAAATTAAAGGCAGAGTGTTCTCTCTAATATGCAGATACTGACTCTCAATAGGTGGGGATGGGGAGGAGGGAGGAGTGTAGGTTCACCAGATTGGATGGGGGAAATGGGAGGAAGGGTGGGGATTGGGAATGGGAAAGACAGTAGATGAACTGGACATAACTTTCCTATATTCATATATGAATACACGACCAGTGTATCTCCCATCATGTACAACCACAAGAATGGAAAATTATACTCCATGTATGTATGATATTTCAACATACAGTCTACTGTCATGGTTAATTAAGAGAACAAATTAAAAAAAACTAAAAAAGAGAGAGAAAACATTGGTTATTAGAATGGAAAAGTCTAGAAAATTATATTTTTAGTAGGCATGGAATTTTGTAGAGATATCTTGTTAAACTTTTTGTTACCTCAGTATAGGACTGGTTACAAGGTTTGTGGGCATAGTACAAAATGAAAATATGGAGTCTCTTTTTAAAAAATTAAAAATTTCAATTTGGTGGCTGAAGAGCATTAAACTAAGTATAACTCCAGCCCATTAATCAGTGGATTAATCCACTGATGGCTGATGGAACTTCTGGGAGGTGGGGCCCAGTTGGAGGTGATAGGTCACTGGGGGTATGTCCTGGAAAGGTTTATCTTCCTCTGCCCTGCTTCACCCATGATGTTCTGTTCCACCTCAGTCCCAGAACAATGAATCCAACTGACTATGGACTGAAACCTCCAAAATCACCAGCTGAAATGTATCTTTCTTGCTCTAAGTTGTTCTTCTCTAACCCTAACCTTTTGCTTCAAACTTCTGACCACAAAATTTCCTGTTGGTTCCTCTTCTAATTTTCCCTTATTCATCACTGATTTGATAGTGGAATTTTAAAAAGTTCAGGTCATTTCTCATCTCCGCTTCTCCCATTTCTCTCTAAATTGTCCCTGATACAGAAGTATAGGAAAGTTAGAAAATCTGAAGGAATATCTTTTCCCATCTTTTTTAGGAACACTATTAGAATAAGCATGACAACTGAATGTTTTTCGCATACTCTATGTTCTACAACCTTTTGGTTGTACATTTAGATGGTGTACATTGAAGGGTGAGGCTTTGTAGTGAAGATGATGGTGTGCTGAGTTTTCCATGACTGACTGAGAGGAGCGAGAGCTAGGTAAGATTCTATTAAAGGTCTAGGGGATAAGAGAAAGGGCAGAGTACCTTTGTCATAGATGGATTTTCATGAGTAAACATGAAAGCAGCTATAATTCATGGTCCTTTTCAATATAACACACCTCCCAGTATCCAGCTTTACCGTGTTTTCTCTGCTGGTTGTTCTTCATTTTCATATGAATGAGAGGCTCCTTTTGTTAGATAAAATGGGTTCATATTTCACAGATGTGTTTGCCTAGAGCTTGTATCTCTTTTCTCCCCCAGGTTCTTTTGGAAGCTTTTATAGAAGTTTCAGATGATGATTTGGGTTACACACATGTTTGCTCCTCATTGAGAAACAAAAGGGTGTATGTTAAATATTAAAATCTTACTGTTAACACAAAAATTAAATTATACTCAGAATATTATTTGGAATTTCTTTGTGGCTTTTATAAATAGGGTTTCTGATATATTGATCTTCACAAACTGTATCTCTATATTATTCACTGCAAGACCACTATATATCTGTATATGGTAACATGCCTACTATTTAATAACAGGCATAATTATTTTTGAGTTCCTATTCTTAATATGCCTGAGTGTTGAGAGGAAACTTGGATATTTATTAATTGGTTCATCGTGGGAGAGTTCAAATAATAGGTAGATCCTCATTATAGAAGTCTGACTTCAGAGGTAAGCAGCTGCAGTGATTTTTTCCCATAAGTTCAAGAACAACCCCAGAAACTTATATTGTGTCTGAAAATGAAAAGTAAAAAACGACTGGGGACATAGCTCAGTGGTAGAGTGCTGTTGGGTTTCATTGCCCCCCCCAAAAAAAGAAGAAAAAGAAATTCTACTCTTTTTTTCCAAGAACTATATTTGGAACTTTAAATATATATATTTGAATTTCTAAAGTAAATGCTGCAAGGTGCAAGGTAAGTATTCTTATACTTCTTTTTCACATACTGAAGCTAAGATGTAAATAGTATGAGTAATTTTCCCAATGTGTCACACAGTAAAGAAGGATTCTATCACTGCTTCATGAAGCTCTAAGCAAACGAACTGCCTATTACCATGAGCCTAGTATATCTTAAACATTTTTGACTGTGAACTATGGCAGAAGTACATTCAACACTGTGATCTGATTCACTGATAGGTTCATACACACATACATGTGCACACACTGTGTGCAAAGAATGAAGCAAAAGATTAATGAAATATGTTATATGTGATGTTTTCTAATATTTTTATTATATTCTTTTCTATAGCTATGGATATGTTGTATGTTTGTTTATAAATGCTGGTCAAACTCATTAAATTGCT